TATGCATTGCAGATTTTTTTAATGACGGGAATGATACTGTAATACCATATTACTGCCCAACCCCAGTGGAGACGCAAGCAACAAACATAATGATGTAATAGCTAGACAAATTATATTTAATCCCATACTGTGTACTACATTGTAGTTTCCCTTCATGGTTAACTGGCTGTGACCAGTTAAGGTTAAGATACACTTTCCTATACGGACATTTGTCCTCTGTATTTGACCCATCCTTCAGTGCTGATGGGGCATCTCCTCAGGAGCAGGGACCCATTTCTATGATCTTCTCGCTAGTCTTGGTCAGGATTATCTTAGCTGGAGGACTTGACCTGTGGTGTATGTTTTGGTTTGATGGGGGAAAACCACAGGGCACAGGGAGATCATGCAAACTCAGCACAGAAAGGCCCCGGCGACTCAGTAATGACCCCGGAACCTTCTTGCTGTGAAGTGTGAGTCTAGCTACTCAGAAACCGTGCCGCTAAGCTAAGCACACCCACAGCAGGAGGCTTGAAAAGATGACCTTTAGTTTTAACATTGAATAAACTCCACATATGAGACTGGGATCCCATCAGCTTTCAAACTGAGAACACAAATACACGTGGATTTTAGCCATAAGCAACACCCGAAATAAGAGGGATTTTGATGGAATAACCAACGTGATAATGAAACAAACAAATCTTACAAAATTTCTACATTATGACGACACTTTTCAGACAAATCCCTCAACTTCACAATCTTCCTATAAGCGCTTTCTCCCTTCAGATGACTCCATACATTGTCTTTTTGCGCTGGCCTTCTAACATCTCCATTTCTCCAAGTCAGTGGACGGGAAAATAAGCGCGCTGATTTAATCTATTCAGGGCCACTTTGCAGCACATTACATCTGCGCGTGGACCATACAGCCAGCCCCATAACACTGCACCATTCTGTCTCAGCACGCCCCAGCTGATCCACTCGCTGCCTTCAAACAAACTGGGTATTTTGATTTCATTTCCGCTATCAAAACAAAGGAGCAGCATTAGCATTAGTCGGGTTAAAGACAAGTGCTGTGTTTGTTTACATGGGGATAATGTAAAAAAAACAGCATTTGGAATATTGTGATAATTTAAAGGAAAAATACATAGGCTTATTCTGTATAGAAAATGAACTATGCAACTGAACCTGTGTCGCCAGAGCCTTAACCAGCAGATAAAGACACATCCAAGTGTTTCTCTTTCTCAGTTTGTGGACAGAACATTCCTCATGTGAAAACTCAGAGCCTCCAGAATTCCCTCCCTGAGCTGCAGAGGCTGCACTAGCACTGACTCATGATTGGTGTTGGTGCTGGGGTTTAGGCAGAGACAAATCAGATCAGAGAGAGGCAATTTAGGTTTAAACTAACTGGATTAGTAGTAGTAGGAGGAGAAGTAATGTTGTGGGATTAGAAGTAGAAGCAGCAGTAGTAGTGGTATTAATAGTACTAGAGGTGGCAGTAGTAGAAGCAGCAGCATCAGTAGCAGTAATACTGGTATTAGTAGTAGTAGAAACAGCAGTAGTAGAAGCAGCACTGGTAGTAGTTGCTGTAGTATAAGCAACAGTAGAATCAGTGGTAGTAGTAATAGTAGAAGCAGCAATGGAAGCACCAGCAGCAGTAGTAGTAGTAGTAGTAGTAGAAGCACTAGTAGCAGTAGCAGCAATAGTGGCTGTAGAAGCAGCAGTAGGAGTAAAAGTAGTAGTAGTAGTAGTAGTAGAAGAAGCAGCAGTAGTAGTAGCAGTAGGAGTAGAAGCAACAGTAGAAGCAGTAGTAGCAGTGGTAGTAGTAGTAGTAGTAGCACTGGTAATTTTGTGGTTACTTGGGGCAATGACAATAAATCCTTTAATCTTGAATCTCGAGTAGTAGTAGGAGTAGTTAGTAGTAGTAGTTGAAGCAGCAGTAATAGTAGTGGTAGTATTTGTATAAGTAGTAGTATATGAAGCAGCAGTCACAGTTGTGGTAGTAGTAGTAGTAGAAGTAGTAGTGGTAGTCGTAGTACTGGTAATAGTAATAAAAAAGTAGTAGCAGTCGCAGCACTGGTAGTGGTTATGGCAGTATTAGTAGTAATAATAGCAGCAGTGGTAGTAGTAGTAGTTGAAGCAGCAGTAATAGTAGTGGTAAGTAGTAATGGTAATAATAGTAATAGTAGTAGTAAAGTAGTAGTCGTCGCAGCATTGGTGGTGGTGATAGTAGTAGTAATAGTAGTAGTAGTAGGAGTAGTAGTGGTTGTAGTAGTAGTTGTAATAAAAGTAATAGTAGAAGTAAAACAATAGCAGTTGCAGTACTTGTAGTGGTTATGGTAGTAGTATTAGTAGTAATAATAGAAGTGGTCGTAATAGTAGTAGTACTAGTAGTAGTAGCAGTATTAGTAGTAGTAGTAGTAGTTTTATTTACACTGGAAGTTAACGTTAACCCACTGCTGTAAAAGTCAGATAAGATAGAAATGACTGTTGACAGCGCTAGGCTAACGTGCTAACATGCTAACACAAAAGTACACGGATAAGTTCGTGTAATGAATGCTTTCGCTGTCATATCGCTGTGGGTGTTTTTAAAAGTTAATCTGGCCTCAAGGAGAAAATATGACAAGGGTTTTTGGTTTTACTTAAGGGATTAGAGGCTCGTTTGACAGACTGAAGAAGTGCAGTGTCAGTATTCGTGTCTTTAGAAAGATAGGCCCAAACAATTAGCAGCGTATTTTAGCGAGAATAAAAGAAGTGACAAGCAAGTTTGGAAATGCCATCTTCTGAGCGTGTCTCCATGACGACAGATACAGTTTCGCAGTCCCACACGGAGATAAACAAAAGCAAAATATGACAGCGGTGACAGCTCATTTTGCTAAATAAATATAATGGGGAAAAATGTATATAGGCTTCTTCATTCTGGCAATGTTTATAATTGTTACATATAGAAACTGTATCTGACCCTCTAAGTCCCAACTCCCTTTGCTCTCTACGCTAAGTTGCTCCCCCTTCAGAGCGCTACCACAACACAATCAGCATTTGCGTTGAATTCCTGAAGTTGTAAATATGATGTTTTGTATCACGTTTTTGTAGATTTAAGGTGAATAGGGCCCGAGAGAGATCGCTAGATTACTCAGACATGCATGGGTGACATCTAAAACCGTGTACAAAGCAAAAGGCACGAACATTTTACTTTATTTGAGTAGTTTCAACTTGATCTACCAATGGAACAAGCGTGTTTTTCGTGATTCAAGCAACATTCGATTTTGTTTCTTATTTTAAGCTCAAAGAGTTGTTGTTTTTCCTATCTTAAGTGTAGCAAGATGTATTTCCATATTTTAAGTCCAAAAAGTCTTGTTCCACTGGTAGATCATTTTACTTGTCAAGTGAAATTTACTCAAATCATGCAATCTTAACTTTTTAACAATTGTAATTTTTGCTGTGTATCTATGTTGTCATTCATGTTTTGGAACTCAGCACTCACTTTCTTGTCATTTCTAACTATTTCAAATTTCTTCACAAACAGTTTCTTTACTGATGTAAAATTATGCAGGATGTAGTAGTAGTAGTAGTAGTAGCACTGGTAGTGTAGTAGTAGTGGTAGTAGTAGTAGTAGTAGTAGTAGTAGTAGTAGTAGTAGTAGTAGTAGTAGTTGAAACAGCAGTATTAGTAGTATTAGTAGTAGTTGTAATAGTTATATAAAGTAGAATTAAAGTAGACGCAGTCGCAGCACTAGTGGTGGTAATAGTAATAGTATTAGTTATATTTGTAGTAGTACTGTAGAAGTTTATTTACATGGGGGATAATGTTAGTAATTGCAGTAATAGTAGTAATAGTTGTAGTAGTAGTAGCAGTAGCAGTAGTTGAAGCTGCAGTAATAGTAGTATTAGTGGTAGTGGTAATAGTAGTCATAGAGTAGTAGCAGTTGCAACACTAGTGGTTATGGCAGTAGTAATAGTAGTAGTAGTAGTAGTAGTAGTAGTAGTAGTAGTAGTAGCAGTAGTTGAAGCTGCAGTAATAGTAGTATTAGTAGCAGTGGTGGTAACAGTAGTAGTAGAGTAGTAGCAGTTGCAGCACTGTTGGTGGTAATAGTATTTATGTATTATTAGTAGAAGTTTATTTACAAGGGTGCCAATGCTAGTAATAGTAGTAATAGTAGTCGTAGTAGTTGTAGTAGCAGTAGTTGAAGCAGCAGTAACAGTAGTATTAGTAGTAGTGGTGGTAATATTATTAGTAGTACAAGTTTATTTACAAGGGCTCCATTGCTAGTAATAGTAGTAATAGTAGTAGTAGTAGTAGCAGTAGGAGATGTTGAAGCTGCAGTAATGCTAGTAGTAGTAGTAGTAGTGGTAATAGTAGTAATAGATTAGTATCAGTTGCAGCACTAGTGGTGGTTATGGTAGTAGTAAAGGTAGTAGTAGTAATAGTAATGGTGTTAGTAGTAGTAGTTGAAACAGGAGCAATAGTAGTAGTAATAATAGTAGCAGTGCTTGAAGCAGCAGTAATAGTAGTAGTAGCAGTAGTAATAATAGTAGGAGAGTAAAAGCAGTTGCAACACTGGTTGGTAGTGGTGATAGCAGTAGCAGTAGTACTAGTAATAGTTTTAGTAGTAAAAAATAAAACTATGCAGGATCAGAAGCGCCTAACAGAACTTAAACTCACGGGAAAACCACACTAACTTGTTGCAACAGTTGACATTTGACATTTGACTTCAACATTTGACTTCGACATTACTATGAAACAGGTATGCATGAAAATCCTGCAGAATCAGACAGGCCAGACCAACATCATTCAACCATCAGTCAACCATCTTTAAAAAAAAAACCATAGCCAGCAGTTATAGTACAAAATAGGGATGCATCAGTTCGACCAACTATGACCAAGTACGACCTGTAAATAGTCGAATTTAAACGTCCCACCAGGATATCTGCTGAAACGACATTTGGAAATTCAATACCAATACCGAATCGATGCATCCCTAGTACAAAACCATGCACTTTGTAACAACAGCGATGAGGCGGTCTTACCTGAAGGATCTTGCAGCGTTCCGAGTGGCAGTCGATGTCCTCACAGGGGTGGAACATGCCCAGAGTCACACAGTTGAGGAGGATCACCAACATGGAGGCCCGCTCAAACCACGTGGAGGTAAGAGTTAAGGACAATAGCGTACAGTAAAAGGAAACAAACATTTACAAAGTATACATCAAGCTCCAGTGACTCCAGGAAAACTTTTAAGTGCATTCTGGATAATAAAAATGATACAGTATGAGAATGAAATAAAAACACTCTTTAACTTCTATGGGATTGTAAAATGTAAGTTCCAGAGACACAAACAGCAAAAGGAGGAATTAAAGGTGTCATAGGGGACATAAAAGGAATGATTTGTTAAATAATATCAGTGGATGTAGCCACAGAAGTTCATACACACAAACTCTCTCTCTGCTCGTTGCTAAGTGGTGTTAAGTCCATTTCGAATGCTCCTTCAAAGTCAAATGATGGTGAACTACCTCTACCACGGGGGTCTCCAACCTTTTTCCTCCGGTGAGCTACTTTTATAAAACAAAGATGACAGAGAGCTCATTTTAGTGATCACAAGAAATTGAGTAAAATAAGAGCCACAGCGAGCCTTAGATGAGGTAGAGTTTGATGCCTATAAAACATATTCATTTCATTTATTCATTTTCATTCATTATTAATGTATTAGTGCACAAATTTAGGCATCAAAATGATACATGTACAGTGGTAATAGGCATTTAAATAATCAAATTTGACTCATTCATCACAATACTTGTAATTCAGAAATCCCTTGGTGAGTTACTTGGAAGGGTCCACCCCCTTCCAAGTAGTTCACCAAGGGATTTGAGCTACAGCTTGGAGACCGCTGCTCTACCAAAATCTCCAAGAAAACCGGTCCATTTTCTCGGTTTTCCCAGATTTTGTCAGAGTTACTATCGTCACGCTGGACGTCTTTATCTACGTTTCCAAACATCTGCCAGTTTTGTGACGTAAACTTGAAAAGAGCTCGTTGAACTTATTTGCTAAGAGATGTAGAGCCCTAACAACAATGTTATCCAAACTTTTTTTTTTTTTTTTCTTTGGACCAAAATTTTAAACGTCACAAACCTTGACCCAAGTCAACTGACATTATTCCTGAATCACAAAATAAAAGTGGATTGGACCAAATTTTATTGTTGACTGAGTGATCGTGTCTCTGAACAATTAGTTTTACTCAAGTTTTAAACAATGACAAACACTGAAGCAGCAATAAAAGGATCCAGAAGTCGCCTGTTTGGACATTAAATGTAGCCTATTTCTTTTTTTTTTTCAACATTCAATTGAACCAGCAATATTGTAACAAAATAGTCCGTAGAACTGTATACTGCAGACCCACATGCACATCGTGACAAAAACGAAACTTATCGCGCTTGTAGAAGAACCTCATTCAACCCTGTTATGTCCTGCAGTGGATACAGACTTCTACGTGTTTCAGGCCATAATGATGTTTTCTGTGTATCACAAATCCGAAGGGACACCATTAAAAACACAGCGCCGTTCCAGGGCCAGTAAACAAAACGGACTAAAGTGTTAGCGAAAGGGCGGAGGAAATTAAAAATAATGACTTGCTTCCTCAACCAATCAAGTAACGACGAGCCAAATGTCACATGGGCGGAGCTAGACATCGTACATCGCCAAAATCAAAAGGGAAGTGACAGCAAGCAAAGGTTCGGGGTCAACGCCATTACAGACTTTTTCATTTATATGTTGAAATTCTATTTTTTTATGTAAATTAAGAACAAAAATTTTAAAAATAAATAAAATCTATGACAGCATACCATTTTCTTTCCGACGCTTTTAACTGTATGCAGTGGTGCAGTGGGTTGAGCAGTCTCCCATCAACCAGAAGCTCAAGCACATACTGTTGACATATCACTGAGCAACACACTTCACACGTCACAATCCACAGAAGTCATCTGGGAACCACTTAAAGCATTTGTGAAACATGTACGGTATAATGCATGAAATATACATTCTACAGAACATATTTCACTGCTGCTTCATTTACACCGTTGAGTGTTAAAACTATGATGAGCTGATGAGGAGAGAGCAGGTTTTATGGGGGACCTCTTAACACAAAATCTATCTACATTTTTATGCTTATACTTAAGTGTATTGCTCATTTAAAACGCATATAATTTGTCATCTACGTGTCCTTGTGCATAACATTATAGTGCTCCATCAGCTGATTGAGGTTCGGCTCCAAACTGAAACTAAAAACACTAACACTATATCAACTTGTATATTAGGAACAGGGTGGCTTAATTATAGCTCTAAAGGTAGTTGGTATTGTTTTAAAGGTGCACTGTGCAGCTTTTCTGGTTGTCTCCCTGGAGATGTAATTGCTTTGCCTTGAATGTTCTACAGTGCAATGCGGAACGGGTTCGCCTCTCCAGAAGATTTGACTGACTTGGACTATATTGGAGTCACCAGGTTGTCTCCATGGAGATAGTTAAATTTAATGGCACATCGAAGGCCCAAAAAAATAATCTCCATGGAGACCAGCAGTTCATGGACCATTACATGAGTCCATGGAACTAGAACGGTAAAATCAAGATATATATGATTTATGCCATACTGTGGAAGATTTCATTTCTCTCCAGTGACTAGGTCAGGAATCAGAATACACTAGAAAGTTTGCCAGAACCCCGGAAGTTGTAGACTGCGCACCGGCCAACCAAGTGAAGAACTGTGAAGCCATGACATCAAACTCAAGCTTTCTGGGTCAATTTTGTGGAACAGCACAACAGTAAACAAAGCAGTCGAGATGGATGTAGACAAAGACAGACATTCTGTGTTGGCAACGATTCCCGAGATTACCTTGGGAATTTAAAGCCGGAACAAAGTGTTTGGTGAATTTTATCAAGGGGAAAGACGTTATTGCCCTTCTTCCTACTGGATTTGGTGCATTACCTACGTCACAACCAAATTAAATTTAAAAAAGTACCCGCCTACCGTCGAGCGAACGAATCCTAATGATGCGAGGTCAGACAGTTTCCATGAAGTGAAACCAGCTGAAGAATCAGACTAGAAGATTATAGCCAATGGAGCAACATCTCAATGGAAAAAAGCAGGAGGAGACCCTACTTTATGCCATATAAGAGTCAGGTTTGTGGAGATGCAAGCCCGCTCAGAGTAAGGATGCACGTTTTTCTGTGCATAAAACAAAGCATTATTTTATTTTAGTCTTTTTGGAAACAGGACAGTGTAATCCTTTATGAACACTCTATTATTATTATTATTTTATTTTTTTGCTAAAAAGTTACATACTGTGGTTTTAAATACTTGTCATTAGCATTATGTATGCAAGATATACAGATAACAGACAAATAGATCTAAATAGATAGATAGATGTTAAGTGAGGAATAACTTGGACCAGTGCAAATCATTTAAAGATAGATCGATAATAGAGAGATAGAAAAGGTCCCATTTTCATATTGTGGAATACTTTTTATACTGTGGAAGCTGGAATTGCTCTGCTAATCTGTGGGCCCATGAAAGTGACCGCTCAAGCAGTGATGTTTATGTCGAGAGCGGGATTTGAGCCAAGCCTTCGGATCGGTCCTACCAACTGTGCCGCTGTCAGCCCAAGGAGACAGACAGAAAGATAGAGAGAGAGAAAGAAGCAAAAACACTTCTTCCACCAAAAACCACACACAGACAGCGCTTTTCTCCCCACTAAGCAGAAGAACCCCGGCGTGTGTGCGTATGTAACCCGTGCTCCCTCACACTCGCACGTGCGCACACCTTCCTCGCGGTGTCAGCACATAAACAAACCGCGGCGCCTCCAGGGACCGATTCAATTAGAGGAAGATCCACGCGCTTATGAGCTGTCAAAACACCGCTCCGAGACAGGCCCATGTGATGCCGGCGACGCGAGCTTCATCACACACCGGAGAGAAGGAGGGGAGGAGGGGAGAAGCAGGGTAGCTGACCTATAATCCGCTTAATAAACTGAAATGTTGACTCTAAATGTGCATGGTGTAACTTTTCTTGTGGAGGGTCCGTCGAAAGCTTTTCTCCGTGGAGATGTTATTGCTTTGTTAGAACGTTTCACAGTATGGTGTTGAAGCTTTCTATCTTCGTGGAGACCAAACCGGACCAAGTTACAGGTCAGATCTGCGAAGAGGCGACCCCGCTCACAGTCAGAATGCCTGTTTTTCTAGGTATTTTTAAGATGTAAAAAGAATGAATGTAAAGTGGAGCTGTTTAATGTCATACTGTAGAACATTCCAGGCAGAGTAATGATGTATCCATAGAAACAAGCAGGTGACAGACCACACACAGAGTTACGTGCACGTTTAAAGTGCTTATGAAACTTTAGACCAGTGTTTCCCAAAAAACATTTTTCTGGGGACCCATATTTTAAAAGTCACAAACGTTGGCGACCCAAGTCAATAGACATTATTCGTAAATCACAAAATACAGATGGATTTGACCATTATTGAACATTAATGAGGATATTTAATTGTTGATTGAGCGAGCGTGTCGAAGAATTAGTATTACTCAAGTTTGAAACCAGGGGTCTCCAACGTTTTCCTCCAGTGAGCTACCGCTACAAAACGGAAATACGAAATTGAGTAGGGATGTGACAATAATCGAAATATCTTGATATCGTATCGTCAAAAGTCTTATAATCTTACAATATATGGAATTACAGTTTTCTTTGCTTAAATTAATTGTCATGGTGAAGAAATAGCTAAAAAATCAGGTGCCGCATTCAGTGCATTCAGTCTGTTTCTGTGCTTTGTCTTCATTTTTGTGAGCACAGAAAATCCCAATTCACACATTTATGTAGTAGTGAAAGGAACATAGAAATACTGGCTCTACTAAGGACAAGATATTCTGATGAAATGCTCATTCAGAATGACAATAAGCTCACAGATCTATGTATACAACTGTATTTTGCAGACCTACATGCAGATCAAGACAAGGCGACCCAAAAAAAAATCTCAACCCAGTCTTCGAGAAACAATGGGTTAGATTACTTATTTCACAAAACATTGGATTTCAAGGGCCTATAATATGTAAAAGTGACTCTTGTGAGCTTTAAGTCATGTTATAACATTGTTACCTCCTCAAAG